GGACACAAGGATATTTTTCACCTGTTTTTTTTAGAGCGATACAGTTAAATATCTATTCGGAAACTATGTTAAGTTTGATTTTATTTTAAGAATCATATTAATGGGTGGCGCAGAATAAATTATACCATGTGCATTTTGAATATAACTCTTCTATTATCCATTAGACCGGGACATCTTTTTATACTAAAAGATGGCGCTTGAAATTTTCTACAAAATAGTATATTGTTGAACCTAAAAGTTATTTCTCGTTCATTTAAAAAAATATGAAAAGTAAAGATATACAAAAAGTTGTAAAAATTAAATATGAAAATGATGATGATCCGGCAAAAATTTATCGTGATTTAGCCGGAGCTGCTTCGTTACCCACAATTAAATTATGGATAAAAATGATCAACAAAACTGGTTCTATCAGGCTATCATCCCCTCTAGGCTGCCCGCGCATGGTTCGTACAAGTACCACTATTAAAAAAGTTAAATACCGTATAAGTCAAAAGAGACGAGTGTCTACAAGAAAATTAGCTAAAGAAATGAATATTTCTCGAAGAAGCATACAGCAAATTCTTCGTGAAGATCTTGGCTATAAGCCGTACAAAAAAATAAAACAACCTAAGCTAACTAATCTTTAACAGGCTAAGAGAGTTAAGTTTGCTAATTGGGTGTTAAATAACGACAGTAAAGATGACATTAAAAAATGGCTTTTCACAGATGAAAAGTTTTTCGACTTAGACGGGATATACAATTCACAAAACGATCGGGTGTGAGCTGCCAACAAAGAAGAAGCTGATAGAAAAGGTGCTTTTCATCAGAAAACCAAATATCCACAAAAAGTAATGGTATAATTGGGGATATGTGCCAATTGTTTAACAACACCAGTAATTTTGGAAGATGGAACGATGAATGCAGATATGTACATCAATAAAGTCCTTCCAATTGGTCTCGAATGTGGTGATAACATGTTAGGAAGCAATTGGACATATCAACAGGATGTTGCTAGGCCTCACATTCACTATGTGACTCAAAAATGGTGTGTTAAGCATTTTCCTGAATTTATCCCACAGAAGCGTTGGCCACCCAGTTCATCCGTTTTGTGTCCACTAGATTACAGTTTATGGAACGAATTAGCTCAATACATGAATTGGGATCGAATAACAACAAAAGCAACGCTGATTAAAGAGATAAAACGTTCTGTCACAAAAGTTAACAAACAAAAAATTTTAAATTCTATACTTGATTTTACTGTAAGGTTACGTGAACTAAAAAAAAACGGAGGAAACTATATTCGTTAAATAAAATATATAGTTTTGTGCAGAATTTAAAGCGCTTCTTTTTGATAAAAAAAACTTACTTTGTTTGATTGGAAAACAGAGGAGAAATATTAGAAATACTAACGGTATAATTTATTCTGCGCCACCCGTTAGCTATTATCGATCTGGTGATGATGCATTTAATGAATCGTTAGCTGACATGTGTTTCAAATATGTCTTACATTGATTATGTCAAAGAGAAATTATTGAAACCACTGGGCGTCAATATTGACAAAGTTGGCGTACGATTGTCTGATTTTGCAAATATCGAAGATCTTGTAAAGCATTATACCTATGTAGTCAATAGATCTTATATCTTGGATTGGAATAAACAAATACGACAATTGAATATTATACAAATACCGGTAAGCTTAACAGCACCATAAGCAGAGATGATTTTGATTCATTTCTGTTTAGAACGATCTTCCTACTTGGCTCTATATATCATTTTTTGGTTTCAGCGTCCATCCAGCTGGTCTCTTACGTATGTCGGCTGGTACACTATCCATATATCTACGTATGTTTCTGAGCAATGGATCTTCTATTCTTCGTCCACAATCGATTGCTGAAATGCGGAAAGTGGTCGGCAATGGTCTCATACCATAATACAACCCACAACCGAGCAATAATTCTACCGGACAATCATCACAAGTCCAGTTTGGCCTTAGTTGATATTGGCAAATGATGAAAGATGGTCGTCGATACATTGGTCACGGTGGGTCCATGCCAGGCATGTTACACTTGATGCTAGTCAATGAAAAAAATAATTTGGGCGTGATTCTTCTTTCCAATACAGATACTGGCTTACAGGGTTATTCATTACCAGATATTCATGAGGTTGGAAAAAATATTCACATGTCACTTTTTCAATGTTTCGACACCGATTTTTTTCATGCATCTGCTTGTCGTATGAAAGGAACACATATTGAATTCTTCGTTGTTCTTTTCCTTCTTCACTGCTTTTTCGTATCTTAAATATCTATTTGTCTATAGACTATTCGTTTTTTCAAAACGTGTCTAAATCAACCGTCATCATCACTTAAGGGTACTCCTATCTTTCGACCAAAAACTCGATTTCAAGCTGGGCATCAGGTATAATAACCTAAAGTGCTATATATCATTTGACTCTAAAAAGCTTACTGCTAAAGAGTTATTGAGTTAAGAAACTTTTTTTTTTCATAGTAATCACATTGAAAGTCTTTTCTTTTACTTCGCATAATTAAAAACATCAATTTTCTCAATTCTGACTGCTTACGACCTTCCCTCTAACTTTGTTCGATTAGGCTGAAATTTTCACCGCTGATACTTAGAAGTATTCTCCAGAGTTAAATCGAACGCGCTCATTTTTGACGTTCCTAGCCGAATCTACAGGGCCATGAAACTCAAGACCCAGGCTTTGTTTTCAGACTTTGGCGTATTCCTCTTATAAAAAAAAAAAGAAAGTGAGATTTTTGGCAAAGCTTAAACTTACCTCTGAGGAATAGCCTTAGGTATCTCAAAAACAAATTTCAGTCCAATCGGATAAAGTTTAGTGAGATCGTAATGCACCAGCATCCAGTCCTCTGTAAAACCAAGGTTTCCAGGAAAACCTGTAGAAACGGACTTCAAAATTTTGTTTCCCGAATACGTATCTCCTTATTGTTGGTGCTCTATCTGTGGTGAAAATTTCATCTTGATCGGTTGTACCATCTTCGAGAGCCAGAAATGGTCAAAAAAGAGGAGTACCGTTAAACTCTAAAACACTCAATGTCAGATGGAATTTTCTTGAGATTAAAATGAATTATTTCAATTGATTTTTTTTCACCTGTACAATGAATTTCACTTCATGTTGTTTGTTCTATAAGATTTCGATTACGATAATGAATAAAAAACAAAGGAAATTTTTATATTAATCAATCAGAATAATTCAAATTTTGTTTTCCATGGATATGAACGACAACAACAATATCCATTGAATATTTTTTTTTGATCAGAATTAATTTATTCGTTGAGTATCTGAACAAAATCGTCATGCCATTTTCTTTCTAAAAAGGGATGTGAGTGTTCGTAAAGAGAAGACACACATGACCTACACCCGCACCCGACATCTAGGATAAAGTCAGTATGACGCACACAGTTGTTGAACAAATAAACATTTTTAACATATTAAGAAATTATTGACGGAGATCAAATTTCAGCAATTTTTCGACAGTAATGATCAAATATACGAAGAAGACAGTGCCTATTGCAAAACAATCGCTTGATTTCATATTCATTATTTTCGTTTTTTGTTTATAGCTGACGATCGGTCACAACAGCTGTCAACAATAAACTATGACCACCAATTACTGTACTAAACTAATCCTCAAATTTTATTGAAATAATAGCATAATTTAAAAAATACATGAATCACATCAACTCTTCTTTAATATTAAATACATTCGAGGAGAAGAAGTATCAAATTGATTTGCATGTTCTTTTACTTCTTGTTCATACATGTTCCAAAATTGATCTAATAATATTTCAATATCTTTTTCTGAACGATGATCATTCATTTCCAAAGCTTGTCGTAACGAAGGTTCACCCCAACTACGTACAAATTGAGTTCGATCTTTTGCAAACTCATCCACTGAAACTTCTCCTTGTTGATATCGAGTCAATATGTTTATTCTGGCTTCAGACAATTCAGATTTGATTAATTTGAATGAAAATTTTTTGAATAGCTCCTCATCAATGCATTCGAAATAAGTACGATAATACACTGGGATAGTATAATCGAATAATTCTTGTTCTGTAAGCGACAATAATTTTGCACATTTATATAAAAGATTAAAGGCAATTTCAAGTCCATTTAATCGTTTATCATTTATACAATGTATACAAAGAATGAGAACACCACCAAGAATAAGTTCATTCGAACGATGTTCTAAAAATTGTGAATAATCCAGGCGAGCTTGTTGCTGAAATTTATCAAATTCATCATTTGTATTAAATAAAAAAGCACAATGATTCGATATATTACATGGTTTACATGAGAGCCAATGTATTGACGTCGAAGAATAACCGATGGAAAGTGAATCCGATGGTAAACATTGTTCATAAAATGATCGACCATTGGCGAAACCAAAATAGCTACCATCTTTATTGAGTAGATCAAAAAGTATTGTCCAATCATTTGTTGGTAAATCGTTATGAACGATGAGAAATGATCGTTGTTCATTTTTAGATTTTTTTAAATATTCAATTATTGCTTTCATGGCATACATTGAATTCAAACCATGTGATGAGCCAAAATCAGCAATAATGAGTAGTTGTGTCGATGATAGAGAAGAAAGATCGAGAACATCAATAGCTTGTTGAATAAATGGCAATGAAAGTTCAACAGCACGCATTTGTTGACGTGAATTCAAATTGTAACAACCTGCCATACCCTTGATCGAGCTTGACATTTTTGTATTTTGTTTGCCTATAGAATCTCTTTACCAATGACAATGAAAATAAATGATAAGGGATGCACATTTGTAATTTTCTTTCTTCCGCTATCTTGTTACTTGCCTTTATCAGTAAATAGAAGAAAATAGGCATCGTGAGAAAAATGTCGGCCTTTCTATTTTGCTTTTTTTTTCTTCCTATAGTTATATTATATATGGAACGAATAAAATGAATCCATTGCTCGTGCTCACAACTTACACATACTTTCTCTGTCCTTTCACAATTTCGAGCATATATCAAACTCGTTTCTTTATCACGAGCGGACATGCACATGGTTATCTAAACATATACAGCGTCTTGTACTGGACAATAAGCAAAATAGACCACTTCGAGCTGATCAGTTCGATGTGGTATGATACACTTTTACTGGATTCAGATCCTTTTAATGTGACATGTATCTGCTCGATGAAATCTAGGTGTTCACAAAGCACGCGCTGACTACCATGCTACACTCTGTTGCACTGTCGACGACAGTTTTATTTGTTCGATGAGTAGCATCAGAGTAATACGTTTCAGGAAGTTTTGATTTTTTAAAGAAAGATAAAAGTTATAACAGAGGTTTTTTTACAATAGATACTATTGATCATGAATTTCCTTTTCATGATATTTAGAGTATCTCATCGATTAATATTTGTTGATTGATACCATATATCATTTTTAGAAGGCATATCCACGTAGATATGGCAAGTTAATAGGATCAGTGCAGCGGATTAGCTAGAGACTATTCTCATTTGAAAGAGCATATCAAAATGCATCGAATGTTTTTTCAAAAGTTTGTGAAGTTGGACTTTGATACACAAAATTTTTTGAACAAGACCAAAAAGACTGAATTTACCATACGATTCTTACTATGAAAATCGATGATTTACCCTTAGATGTTCGATTTATGTGATCCAGATGACAGCTCACGTCGAGAAATCTCTAAATCCAACATTTCAATTTGTGTGAATATGCCTGTGAAAGATGTCAGAAGATATACTTTTTCAAATCTTATTAGATGATATCCAATTCCACCTATTTTTCATATGTTTTTACAAAAAAATGTGGGTGTGTGTCTTCTCTTCACCAACAATCATATCTACATCCACACCCTAGCACAGTTGTTTATCTTTTTTGTTTTAACCGTTTTCTCGAAAAAAAATAACACAATAGACATCAGAATGCCTAATATATGTCAGTTTTATACAATGAATTAAAACATGTGCAATAAAATTTGTTGCACTGAAAAGATTTATTTATTAAATGAATGCTAAAGCTGCCCGGCCATTCAATTTGATTTATCAAAGTTATGCTTAGCTTTTGGTTGGAACTATATCAAGTAAATGAAAACAATTAATTTATCAATAACATTGCTTCGAATTTACCTGAAGCACACAAGAACTTTTGTCAATAGCGAACATTTGAACACGATGATTTGCTGTATCGGCCACATACAAATTTCCGTGACGATCAAATGTTAAATGATATGGATATGATAGTTGATTTGTCTCGTTGCCAGATCCTCGTCCTCCAACAATGACACTGGCCGATTCATCCTCTTTGAACCAACGCATCACACGATGGTTGAACGAATCAAGAACATAGACAGTACCAGTTTGGTCAACTGCAGCTGAAACAGGTCGACTGAACCGATTTGAAACATCTTCTTGTTTATTATCACTAGCCACGACAATACCTTCATGGGCGCCGACAGGCCATTTCACCACGCGATTATTATAATAGTCGGCCACGAAAACTGACTTCTCCCGATCGACGAATAAACTGATCGGATATGAGAGTTGATTGAGAGCAGGTCCTCTGCTATTGTTACCAGCAACAACCTGATCACTAGGTATTTTCATTACAACATTCTTTTCAAAGTCGGAGACATACAACGTTCCTTCATTATCTATTGTCAATCCTGAACATGCAATATTCGCAATGATCGTTTGACCATCATTATCATTCTTATACCATCGCTGTACTCGCTTGTTAAAACGATCACACATAAATATCGTTCCATTCTTATCAATAACAATATTTGTCACACCCCATAATTGGTTATTGTGATTGCCTAATCCATTTCCAGCGGCTACTACTTGTCCACTAGAAGCGTCAGATACCCATTTAACTACTCGCTGATTGCTTGTATCTGCAACATAGATGTTATCATCGTCATCTACATGCAATCCCCATGGACTATTGAGTTGATTCAATGCAGATCCACGTCCAAATCCTCCAGCCACCGTGATACCATGTTCGTTCCATGTTGCACTCACACATATACCATCGTCTGGTACGATGGGTTGAGGAGAAACTAGACGATAGAGAAATAAATATGATAGATATGTCATTCTTATTGGTTACTTGTTGTCATTGGTGGACACATCACTTGAGTGGCCATATCTATTGGATAACATACTGGAGAAGGTTGACATTGTGAATGTTTGACACACACATGATCAGGTTCATAACACGTGTGATTATCTGTGTTACATGAGTTCAGCTCGGAGCAGACGAGATGAAGATAGCCACAAATGCTATTATTGCCAGTGCCTGCCAAAGGTAAACAGCCGCATGCCGTATTAGACGAACATTGATCATATTGAATGGTGCTTTCACATGATTCAGCTTTGATTTGATTCACTTACGTTAGTTAAGACAAGTGGATAGATGAAAAAATAAAAATAAAAATACATACCTGTGTGGCTAAAAATGATATGATGATTATATCGTACGGAAAGTTCTAACAATTATCACTTACTCGAATATCACTAAAAGTGCAAAATATATTATCCACATTGTTTTCATCTATTCATCACTTTACTTCTTTATTTATTGTAAGTCTATTATACATGTTTCTACAATGGGACCGCAACCATCTGTCAAACAATGATGATATATTTCTTGATCCATTCGTAAAAAAAACAGAATAATATTATGACACCGTTATCTAATATAGATTGTTTTATCTATGCTCGTTCGAAGTGTAAAATATGTCCACTTGTTCATTTCTTGTTTGAAAATGTTAATATCTAAGATTATAATCGATTGGTCATACTCTTCATTTCACACGTATCGATAGGCTGCTTTTTTTATTTCTTTTCGTACGGGCATACGCGAATTTCACGTATATACAACGTATACAACAGTAATTTATTATTATACATTATCCTTTTATCAATAATCAATTAAAAAAATATCAAGAATTAGCTGATGTACAGGTTGTACAATAGTTATGCTAACATGTCAATAGCAATGAAAGATCGAATGATTGACAGTACAGATTTACAACAACAAATTTTAAAATACAATAGTGAAAAAGAAAACTTTGACAAGATTTGCACATCTAAGAGACATTATTCAGGTGAATAAAGAACAACAGTTGGTGACGATCAAATTACTTTGTTCAATGATGATGAAGTAGCAGTTGCAGAATGCCTACCAAGCAGAATTGAGAATTCTATTGATTTATGTACTTTTTTAAAACGAACTGATTATCACATGCTAGAATTCTGTTTTTTTTTATCTTCTTGCTTCTCAATAGAATTCTATATTTCACAAGACAAACTTTACACGATATAGCCATCAAAAGACAGTACTATCTTTTCTTGGTCTGTTTACATTCTGTCTAGAATTGTGTAGAATTCTCTGTTATCAAGGACAATGTATTTTACTCTAGTCTGCTTAAATTCTGCTTAGAATTCTGTAGAATTCTACGTTATCAAAGATAACGTACATATATATTGGTATCCATTGGATTTTAGAATTCTGTTCGAGTCTGTTTAAATTCTTTCTTCGAATTTTCCTTTTCTGTTGGAGATATGCACTTGTAGTATGCGTATTCGAATTTTATCTTCTGTTACTCGTAACACAATTCTACTGTTGCAGACACAACTGCTTCTAAGATTACATTCGTCGTTTCGTACACTATGGACAAGTCAATAAAATTCTGAATTCTGCTTGTTAGAAATTCTGCAGGCCCTCTCCTCTGTACACGATTAACAAACAAAATCCTGATGAAAATGTCATAATTTTTGAACGTACGGATGGAACCATTTTCCAACTTTTTGATATATTTATTCAAGAAGAACTG